GAAGCGGCCTGTGCTTGATCTATTGCTCTCATCCATTGCTAGTCTGCTGTTGAACCATTTGTGTCATTTGACACTTCTTCTTGTCGGTTGAAGCGAAGGCTGACATAAAGGACTGTATGAGATTTCATTGATGAAGCATGCTCCACGTCCATGCTGTGCTTAGCCGCAATGACGTGCTGAGAAAGGGGGGAAACATGGAGAAGATCCTATTGCGGGGTGTGGACAAGAACGAATCGCCATTGGCGAGGGGCGTTGGTAATTGTTAGATCATTCCGTGCCACTGGAATTTCCTATTGTGGCAACCTTCCTTGCATTATGCAGTGGGAATGTAACCTGTTCGTGAGCAAAGGGGCCCACACGCGCCGTTCTTACACGCGCATGATATTCGCTGGCATGGCTCCGACCATGTTTATGCGAAACTAGCCAGGTTGCGCGCAAGTACCAGCCAACGGAGTAAAACATCGGCAATTGTAGGCGAGCCGCACAACCGCGGAGTCGTCATGGTCCTAGCAATATCTTTAGTATACATAATCGGGTACTGAGTGCATACAAATCTTGTCATTCAACTTTCAATTCACTCATTTTGCACTCGTTCCCATCATGCCTTCACCGCTCAGCATCGGACTGACGGTCGCACTTTCTGCGACTAGTCTTCTCGCACATCCACTCTTTAACGGCGAGCTCATTGCGAGGGCGGAAGATCTTCTTCCCGAATATGATTATGTTGTTGTAGGCGCCGGTGCGTCAGGCCTTACCGTTGCCAATCGACTATCCGAAGATCAAAGTAAGTCACTCTCCTGACCCCATGAAATATTTTTCATAGCAGATGACTAACGCTTCTCTGTTGTAGATGTAAACGTGTTGATTATTGAGGCTGGCCAATTGTAGGTCGCACTACTAGATCCATATCGCCATCGACATGCTAACTCAGCCGCTAGCGACCAAGACGAGCCTTTCATGACGATTCCAGGCCTTGCCGGTGGCGCCGTCGGAACCAAATACGATTGGAACCTCACGTATAGCGCAAACCCGCAGGTCAACAATCGTTCTGTTTCTATTCCTTTAGGCAAAGTTGTCGGCGGATCGACTAAGCTGAACCGCATGGTCTTCGATCGTGGTTCGCAATCTGATTACGATACATGGGAGGCCTTGGGAAACACAGGATGGAATTTCCAAAGCATCCTGGCTGGTTTCATAAAGGTATGCTTGATTTTTTTGGTAGCCTCATTGATGATACTAAGTGGCTTTCAGTCAGAGACGTTTACACCACCGACGGCAGTAATCCAGGCCGAGTACGACATCAAGTATAACCCCAACAACTACGGCACCAAGGGTTACATCCAAACAACTTTCTCTTCCTTTTTTTGGCCGACTACTAGTAAGTTTTTCGAGCGAAAATGGATTGCCTGGTTTTTAATAACACGCGACAAGAAAATTTCATCAACGCTGCTAAAGCGCTTGGCATTCCGATCAATGACCAAGCTACAGGAAAGGCAATTGGCGGTTACTTCTGCCCGCACAACATAGATCGCAAGACCGAGACGCGTTCTTCTGCAGAAGAAGCCTACTATGCATCTGCACAGAAGCGCCCCAATTTCCATCTTCTAGCCAGCCACCAGGTGACGCAAATACTCACAGAGAAGATAAACGGTATGCCCAAAGTGACTGGCGTTAAGTTTGCCGCTTCCGTTGGTGCTACGAGCCAACAAACAAAAGTCAAGAAGGAGGCTATCCTTGCCGCTGGAGCACTGCACACACCTCAGCTATTGCAAGTGTCCGGTATTGGCGACCCTTCCCATCTTGCTTCCATCAATATATCAACTGTTGTCAACCTCCCCGCGGTTGGACACAACCTTCACGACCACGTGTCAGTTTTAGTGGTCAACCAACGTAAGAAAAGCATCTCTTTCCTTGAAAAACCTAAAACTGATGACATTACAGTCAACACGACGATTCTAACTCTCGGTGCCATGCAATCGAACGCCACACTCGCTGCTGAAATTCGGAAGCAGTACGATGACTCAAGGTCCGGTCCTTTAACTACCCCATCTGGAGACTTTCTTCTCTTCCTTCCTCTCTCGACTTACTCCAATGCCACAAAAGCCATCCTATCACAAGCCATTTCAGCTGGACCATCCGCCTCGCTTCCAAAGGACGTTCCTACCGAAGTTGCGCGCGGTTACCAAGCACAGTTTGCTGCTCTTAACAAGAAGCTTGAGGCCAAAGACTCGGCCTTCCTGGAGTTAATCTGGGCAGACGGTCCTTTGTTAGTTGGACTACAGCATCCGTACTCGCGTGGGCATGTCAAAGCAGCTTCTTCCAGCATATTCGACGCCCCTATTGCTGATGCGGGTTTCCTGCGAAATCAAGTGGACATCACTCTCCTACGCGAAGGCCTCCGTTTTGCTCGGAAACTCTACGCTACACCTGCAATTGCGTCGCTCAACCCAACTGAAATTGTTCCTGGTCCAAGCGTCTCAGAGGATAAAGATATTGACTCTTGGATTCGCGGCGCTGCATCAACGATATACCACCCTGCAGGTACATGCAAAATGGGCCCTAGAGATCAAGGAGGTGTCGTAGATCAGCATCTTCATGTGTACGGTGTGCAAGGCTTGAGAATCGTGGATGCGAGCACCATACCCATGTTGCCAGCTGCCCATACTATGACTACTGTTTATTCAGTAGCCGAGAAAGCTGCTGGCATAATCAAGGCGGGCTTCTAAATGGTAGCATTTACACATCTAGTTTACAGTCAGGCTGGAAAGCGTGGCGGACTTGATTGACGGCATTTCTTTGTAGATATAAACATGTGACAGTCTTCTCAAGGAGACAATATTATGAGCCTGTTATGATAGTACAATTTTCGAGCTATTATCCTATTCTCAAGTTCTTCTCCATTTCATTGGCAGCTTTTGGGCTCATGGTAACCGGGGTAAATGATGCTCTGTGCCCATGCGAACATGTAGACGGCTTAGAAATGCCTGTTTCAGCAAGACATAACCGGCAAACTTCTCCATTGAGCCTTTATCATTACTATAAGAGCAAAGTCAATTGTGAGAGCTGCGCAACGCTTGGTTGAGTATCAAAACGGCTGTTCACATACGGAAAAGTGTTCCAATGACTTCGTGAGTGTGTCAAAGTTAGGTTTCGAACCTGTTGAATAACCTTTTTCTGGGATTGGGTGACTTGAATCAGCGTTATAATATGTGCGCTACTCAGTGCAGTCTGACGACTAAATGTCCACGCTCGTTTAGACTCCCTGCGTGGACTTCACACTGGGTATCACATGAACAATCAACGCATCACATCTGAACCATATGTATGCAGTTGCTTTTAGATTGGGGTTAAGAGAATACCAATAGTTGAAAATTTCTTCCTAGAATCTATCCATCTCATACTCCGTCAGTAACCTAGCAGAGCCGCCTGATCAAGCAAAAGGTTTAGTCTCACAGCAAGCAATGTCCACGCAACGAATTTGAGAGGAAAGGAGCACGGCATACGTGCAGACATGCAATTCCTAGATAGTTGTTATTCGGTGGTGCCAGTGTGACGAAGACTACAAGGTGGTCTCTGTGGTGGACAAGTTGTCGAAGATGGCGAAGCTAGGCTCCTCACGAGATGCATGTGAGTAATTCATAAGTGTGCCCTTATTCTATGTCTCATGCATTAATGTGACTGCATCCTGAGTGCAATAAAGATAACCAGACGAGACGAGTAAATTAGGGACTTTGACATTGTAGTGTCTAGTTGCTATGTGTGATAGCATCGCACATGCAGAGGATCTTCGAGCTTCTAGCGATTAAAGACACAAAAGCGGTGCCCGATGAGTACAACGATCAGCACGTGGTACAGGATTACAGCTGAGAATAGTCTGTCCAGTAATGGATTTAATGCGCTAGGATGTTGCACACAGTGCCCAAGATACGTTGCTGTAAACGTGGTGTGGTTTTTTTGATGCACCAATTGAACAGTCGCGAACAAAGGCCCACTCGGATAAAGAGACTTTGTGTGTGCGCTGAAGAATCAAAGCGGTCATATTATCGTATCTGTTGCGAAACTTCAGACGTCACTGAGGGTTGGGACAAGCTGTATCATAATACAGTTGGTTACAGGTCGATCTGACGATTTAGGAGACGTTGTGGATGATAAATGGCCACTAATGCATTGTCAGTAAAAGGCCATTTTACAAAAGCATGGACTAATACGAAAAAATGCTCATGAAGATCTGCATCTGGGCACGTATAATTTTGGGTCTGATCTTTCAGCCTTTCTCCACTTTATTGCTTGCACTGATTGTTCTACCAACTTCCCACTACTCTCGCCCTTGTATCTATGACAGCATTTCAAAACAGGCCCTCAAATATAGCAAGAGAACAAATTCGTAGAGGAATTTTGGGATTGCTTCGCCAACCCTTTCTAGGAGTATGTCAAGAGAGTAGGTAGCACTTATACTTGGGGGTCAAATCATTTGTAGTCTCCCAGCATGTAATAGGCGTGGGGCGATATCCCACTGAACATTTCTTATAAACATCATACATAATATTCGTCATCAACCTTAGTGTAGCGATTCCCCATTGGATTGCGCTGATGAACCAAGTGAGATCAAGGATCTGCTCTATATGATCAGAAAATTTGTAAGTAAATGAGCAAGTCCCGTATCACGCATGGCAAAATGCAATTATGGAGGGCGCTTTTAAATGTCATCGCTAACAAAGTTGAAGTCCATGCTAACCAGGGTGTAACGGGCTGAACGCCCTTTGAATAGCTCCTCGATAGAATCTCGGTCTAACAGCCAGCCGGGAGTTTCCAGCTTGTATACCTAACTCTTAGTAACTTAGAAACTACCGGCCTTCTTTTATAGTAGTTCTTCGCGCGCCGTCTAAACGACGTTTAGATGATTAGGCGCAGAATCTAGGCGCTGCCTTAAGCACCTAGATTGATTCGACCTAATTATTACTTGGCCAACCAGCTTGTATATAGATAGCTAAGTAGCTTAGGAGCTTAGCTCTCTATTAAATATAACTTCTTGTATACCTCGCAATTGTCCCCCAGAGCGCAGCCTCCTTACACAGGATGTCTATAACGCTACACTAATAGTGCTAGATCCTAAACTAGTCAGGATCAAGTTCCATCTTCTTGTAATTTATGGCCTTTTAGTTAGGTACAATTAAAAACCTAGCCTAAAACGAAGCGTGCTACTTTCTATGTCTTTATATCATTGGCTTAAACGACAGATTGGTGCCAAGAAACATAGTATCAGACTAATACTAGAGATAGCACAAAAAAAAGTTTCTAGCCGCCACCGCTAAGCTGCCGATAACTTTTAAAGGCGGCCTACGTGCTTGTAAGCATGCTAAAGCTTCTCTATGAAGCAACAAATGGTCTGTAGCCTAACACATTAACTACCTTACAAACGAATTCAATAGAGTTATTCAGGTATATAAGCAATTGCAAAGTATCAGGAACGAAATTCTCCGAACCCCGCCTTAGGTAAGCGTCGCGTACCATGCTAGTGTACGGAGGTATCAAGAGTAAGTAATAGCACTGGTCAGAGCTCTGCTAGGGGTTGAGCCCGGGATTAGGTAATCAGCTGGGGCTAGTAATATGATAGAAACTGTATTAATTACTTCTCAGTACTTTGTTGCCCCACCGTGCGCAGCGATTACAGCCTCGCACCTCTCTCTCATACTATTTACTAAGGAGGAGAGGTATTCTGGAGTAATTTAATCCCATGCCTCTTGTACGATAACTCGAAGCTGATCTATTGTCCTTTAACGCCTATCTAGTAGATCAGAATCATCGGTTACAATACAAATTACTATGGAGTTGTATACAAAGCATGTCTAATATACCACTTTTGTCGATTGCAATCTCCGGCTGGTCAGCTAACCAGGGTGCTTATTACTTACCCTTAATACCTTAGTACACGGAAAGGCTTCAGCGGGCCCAGATTCGCGTATAACATTAGTCGAGCACGAGCTAGGAAGCAACTCATTTGTAGGTGGGGCGCGCCGAGACATAAGATAGATACCGCGCCAAGACCGTGCTAATTACTAGTGCCTGGACTGCGATTAGAACGAATTTTGAATTTACTCTAATCGCAGTCGAATTGTAGTTTTGAAATCCTTTAACCCTATCTATACTATTAGCGTATTACTTTAAAATATAATATACTTAGAACAATTTAGAAAAATAAGAAAAATACTATCACGGCGTGACCATAGACTAGTTAAGGGTCGTACGCACGGGCGGATAACGATCTGTGCCTATGGTACGTGCCCTAATACGTGTAGTTATGAATCTGTTCTACTATTCGTACGTAGCTCTAAGAGCTACGTCTTGTAATCTAACCTGATACCTACTGTCCTATCTAATCTAACGTACCGTACCCTAACAAATACTTAATTTTTTTAACAAGTATCTTAAGTATGCATTTAGAATTTATTCTAAGAAAAGGAGTGCATTAGAAAAGATTTCATTTTAAAATTAATACACTAGGCTTAGATAGGACGCACTAGTGACTTAGTTAGTAATCAAAACTTCCTAATTGGGTAACGATCTCATGTCTCGGCGAAAAGCACCTTTAGATGAGGTGTATGCACAGCACGAGCTCACTGCTGGCTCGTGTCATCATACACGGCATATATCGGGCCTTCTAAGACCGATGTTTCTTTCCTGGGCGCTCGGCCATCTTTTTTCAAATCATCGGCCATAAGCCAAGTCCGCTGTGATGTCGAGAGCATGAAATCATGAATATTGAAATGCCTATCTTCGAGCATCTGGCGCAGAGGCTCGGCTGGGAAATGCGAAGAAATCGTTTCCTCCATTATTGATTGGCTGCGCCTGCTTGGCTGGAAAGTAATTTTACTAAACAAAGGCTGCTGCCAAATCTGCAACCAGTTTGTCCGTGGGCGAGACCTTTGTCAGCTCACCCATATGACCATCCCAGCGGTGAGAGGCTTCTTACTGTATACAGCTAGATAATGACAAGGTCTCCGAGTGAACAAATAAATGTATTTAAAGTGTATGGTGCTCACAACAATTTGTCTCATCCACTCCTCTTCCAATCCCAAAACTTCAACAAGTGTTTCACGTGAAATATTTTGCTCAAAATGCGTGCCGTCATTCTCGCTTCCGCAATACCAACAGCGCTAGCTTTGTGGAATGGAGACGTTTGCAACGGCAACGGCGGCTGCGTATCCTGGGGATCTGGTCCATCAAACCACCCTTGGGTTTGCGCGGATGGTAGCCGCCTGACTATGCCTGTTTATCTTGACAACTGGCAAGATTCTGGCCTCGCAACCGTTCCAGCTACGACCCAGGAAGAATTTCCCAAGACTTGCTGGGGTGGGAATTATCCTGCCCCTGGTGAGAAGCTGATGGTACGTCAAGTCCTGGTTTGGTTTTGCTAAATAGCCATCACTCTATGTACTTAATGTTAACGCTAATATGTTACAGAAAACTACTACAAGTAACGGTCAAACACTATATACATGGCTATCTTCGAACTGCAAAGATGGGAAACCAGCAGTACCAGGCGACTGTTATAACTACAATCCCAATCCATCAGTGTAAGTTTTTACTAAGAACCTTGCTCCAATCACGCATGCTGACGGTTTGGCAGTGTGAATTTTTGCGCATTGTATGATTCGAAGGGAGGCGATTGTAAGACGAACCCGGATGCAGGAGAGTGTGAACGCTGGGGCGCTACGACTGTACGACCACAGTGCTATTATTGGAAGCCAGGCCTTAAGGATCTTCCTGACCCGTTTTACCAGGGCAAACCTGACAATTTTTAGACACATTATATGCGTGTTCAGCTATGTATACTAATCTGACAACATGCCTCTATGAAATGTTTATAAAGTGTGTGGTGTTATTGCTGTTATTCGTTCCGACTATGTGAATTGAGCTTCTGCTTAGGGACACCTAGCCCTCAAACCCACGTGATTCAGCAATCAGTGAAACCGCGCAATTGTTCAAGACCTACATCGCCCTATTACTAACAGACTAAACTTATCTCACTAGCTACGGCACTACACAACTTAAAACAAGCATAAAATACCTTATATAGCTTACCTCTAGCTTCTCTTATTATCTATATTAGATTATTAGCTCTTTAGCGTGCGTAAAACGCCTATAAAGTTAGCCTTTTTCGTCTATACACTCACTATATCTTCTCTACTATCAATAATACTCTTAGCGTAGCCGTGGCTGTCACGTGGCTCCGCCTAACACCTTAAACAAGGCAGCCTAGGCCAATCCCCTGGCATAATTCTTCAGGTATTCAATCAACGCTGGGGTGTCACGAATGGTTGCGCTCACCTATAGGTCCGGATATTGGTTCGCCAAAGGATGACCTATAGTCCGCGGGCTAGGCGCACTTCCCTTTCGCTATATACCTCAATGTTCGTCCTCGCTCTAGAAATACTTTTTTCTTTCAACGGTATCGACTATAATAAACTAGATGCAGCTATGTCGCTTTCTTAGAAAAAATAGCAGGCTTTTACGTACCTATGCTCGGAAGCACCTTCTGTCTACTTTTCGCATAATGACTTTGGGTCTAATGCAGATTGTGGCTCCTGGTTCTCTAGTTATGCGTGCACAACATTCGGGCAGTGATAACATGCACGTATGGGCAAGCATATGCTAGCATACAGGGATGAGGTGTAATCTCAGCTACCTGCTTGCTTATCTATCAACATGTATAGTGCATGATTCTCCTCGTGCATTAACAACAGCCAGTGAATTGTCGCGCGCCGTGAACAGTGAGACACAAAATAACAATCATTTCGTAAGATAATGACGGGCTAGGTGCACCTTACAGTGTAGACCATCATATCTTGGTACTTCAGGATATCCATTGATCCGAAACCATGTCGACTAGATCTAGAGCCGTATTATAATACTTTAGTACAAATGTATGCTAATATAAGGTTCGAGTTTGCCCTGTGGCTATCTCAATCTTTATCAGGTCATCATCAAACATTTTAGATAGATAACTCTACAATACAAGATTACAATGATTGCAATCCACCTAGCTCCTCCATCAATCCACAAAGAGCCCGAATCAGCGGCGGCCCAGTTTCTCTATCTACATCAGGATGCGTACCATCAAGAAGCGCCACACCAGCTTTCATAACCTGCCACGGATATCTAAGATCGCATGTGTCTGACTTTGCAGTGCCTTGAACGTCGGATTGCGCACCGGCATTATCAAATGATATTCGGAGACAAGGTATCCCAGCGTTCATCATGATGAAGGCATTGACAGCAGACTGGTTAGAACAGCGCGCATCATCTAGAAACACAAGCGTTGGCCCATCTGATGTCGCTGCTTGTTCAACTTGGGTAGGAGTATTACATCCTGTCTTGCGGGCGGAATCGCTTGTTATCATGCTGTACGTCCACAGGACCATAATCGAATGGTATATGATGAATGAGTCCTGGCCTCGATTCTGATATGGAGGGATCGCGCGCGCAGCTTGTAAAACTTGGCCTGCGTATGCTATGATGTCTCAGTAACTCTAGACCATGATCTGCTCGTAAGAGCCATTAGCTACGTACCGATCGCTGTGCGAGCTTCCCGAGATTTACACCACGGTTGCAATATGATATATGCACGATGTGCTGCTTCCTCACCACATCGCCCGGCGAACCGCGTGATAGTGTCCAAGTCCGCAAATAAGTACATCTGCAGGAAATGCTGGAAAACACATGTCAAGGCGGTTGAGCTATCAAGAACAATGTTCGTGTCTCGTAAACATTCTTGTAGCTTTTGCTGGCGAGATCGAGACCATAGTTGAGAAGAAGCGTCACTCATGTCATGAAGAAGTGCTGCTTGTTGGCAATGCTCCCATACTTGCGATGCTAGTCCATGAATATACGCCGAGTGTGCACTATGCGTGTCGAAACCAGCTTGTAGACAAGAGACGGACCCTGGTTCCTGGAGAATCGATCGCATAGAGGGACGTGAGCTAGCAAGTTGCATATTCAACATACGCGCTTTCCAAACTTCAGCCGATGGTGCAAGCCATAATGATTCTGAAGCGGGCAGTGGGAGTGTAAGCTCTGCATAGGAAAGCAATGGCTGTCGGTGGTTTACCATCGTCATATATATGTCGTGTTCGAAAAGATGATAGACCAGTCTTTTGAAGGATTCGAGCTCGACCCATTGATACCACTTCCTGCTCAACTCTTCTGCGTCGTCTTCTGACGTTGGTAAAATATTGGAATATCGTACATCATCGAACCTGCCCGCCCGACGTAGTGATGTGACGAGTACCTGCAAGGAGCTTTCAGCTAATTCCATCTTACGCCGAAAGCCGCAGAAGGCGCCTATGTCGAGCCAGAGCATGCAAGCTTGCAGGTACTGTAATTCACGCATCACTCCGTTATCTCGCTCGGTAAGCTCCCTAAGAGAAACCCGGACAATCTCTTGAAGGACAAGTCCAGTTTTGTTTACTGACGGTATGCCGAAGCATATGCAACCTGCTACGACCAGCGCTGTCAGGAACTCCGGTCTAGCAGTATCGGGATTAAACGTGTAGGGATGTATCCAAGCATCTCCTTCAGTTCGTTTGGCTATGCCAACTTTGATAAGCTTGTCAAGACATTCTGCCGACGGGAAGGATGATATTGTTACTTGACTAGGAGCAGTCTTAAGAACGAGCTGGAGTATTTGATCACGGCTTTGTTGTGACAAGCGACCAGGAATAACGACATTAGATGCGTGAGGTTGATGGGGAGAGAGAGCAAGATCCACTTGCCTCTCGTCGAGTGTGATGCCTTCTTGCTCACTGAAAGCGTTCTGGTTGCGCTCTGGTATCCAAAACCATGGTGACTGCTTGAAAACAGCATGTCGTCGACGCACTGCGTCTCCACTGTTGGTCGCTCGAGCGTCATGAACAACAGTGCCACCTGGCGTAGTTGTCGTGCCAACACGACCGGTATTCAACGATGGTGAATTGAACGTGTCATCTATGGCTGGCATGAAATCAGCCCCAAAGAGATCCACTTCTCCTAGCCAGTCAGTTTCAGGTAGCCATGCGGTAAGACCAGCGGATGGGTGCAAGTATTCGTTCGCAAGAAAATCCGATTGAGTAACCATGATCTGCTCGAAAAAATTCGACAGAGGTTGTGGTGGATTGGCTGCTTCATGGTAGATTTCTGAGATGCCGCGGTTAACGGTAGCCGCCTCTATGAACACATCAACGGGATACATCAAATCAGGTCGTGGTTCTTCTTGGCTCAACAACTGCTCTGATGTCTGCTTGACAGACGCGCTGGAATCAGAAACACAAACATTATGCTTATCCGGAATTTGCGTGGTACATGGTGTATTTTTCTTGAGGCATCTCTGGCACGGCCGATAATTGTCGCATTTTACCTTGGAGATGACGCAGGCGTTGCATGCCTTGGTCGCTCTCTCAACGGGGCGATTAAGGCTTGGTTGCCCTTCTGCAGCATTTTTTGCATGAGTAGATTGGTGTCGAAGAAGTAAGTCTCTGTGAGCACATCGCTGTCAGTAGCGGATTTTCGTGTTTCGTGTACCTCTCTCGCGGTTTTGCAAATACGTGCCGAGAGCTAGTACTAGAACAATGTACGCCAGCGCCAGAAAAGCCAAGATAGTACTTACCTCCGATTGAATGCTGCAGGGCACTCTTTGCAACAAAACGACCTTTCGTTCCGATCTGAGCTTGTAAGTGTTATGTCCGAAGGGTGGGCGTCCAATTCTTACGCGAGTCCAAATGTCGGTTCAGGTGGTCAAGCCGGTCATAGGTGCGACGGCAAACCTGACATTGTAGCGCCGACACGTTGTCCGTATTAGAGGAAGCACGAGCCCGCTTTGATGGTCTGATACTCGTAGCATCAGTTTCTGCTGACATTTGGCAGTGAAATGAGTGGCAGCGGAATATGTGGAAAGAACTTGGGGTATGTCGACCCTGCAGCAACGCTGTCGGAACATGTGGGCACCCCTGGACTTTTTATTCCTCGGTTGTACAACCCGCCGTCTGCGGGGACTCCACACAGCTGGAACTTCGCAGCCGTATCACCAGCATGGAACGCGAGTCATGGGTCACAAGTGCCCAATCTTGTGACAGGATTTGATACGACTACCTGAACACGTATCTTACCAAGGATTTGTTGGGATCACGTCCAATTATCACCCTTTGGTTCATGAGCATATTTGCACGGATACGCAAACGCATCGACTCAGTTTAATTTAAAGACCCAATAAGAAGTTTGCCGCGTTGTACGCTGCTACAGTCAGTGACGGACGAGATCAGCTCTGGGACAGGTAGATTCGGAAATATCCATCGGTGATTTCGAGCTCAGTTAGCTCAAGTATAGTTGTTGCCACTGGTGCTCAGTTCGGTAGCATCAGATTTTGAAGCTTCCCGAAAGCCGCGGGATGTGCAAGAACAGGTATTACCACAGCCGGGAAGTACATCTCCACTCCTGCCATATCGATACGAGTGGGTCAATGAAGCATCGGCAACAACAACAGGATCTCAGGGCCCAATACAATATCGTCGCTATCTAATAAGTGCCCAGACTTTGTGTTTCGGACCATGTGGGGGGATTTCCGGGCCACATGGAGAACCACACGGGCCGTATCTCGGCAAGTAAGGCGTTCAATGGGTGACATGTATCGGTTATAACAATTCCACTCACGCTGGTTGCGATCGGCAATAAGCTACTACCCAATTTTCAAGTGGCGTTGCCCAGTATGATCCAAACCGCTACACAGACGGTCTCAGCGACAATAAAGGCTGTTGGCGAGAACTCCATGAGAATCGATGGGTCAAAAACTAACTATGGCGATTGGAGAGATGATTTAGCCCGTGACGGTTATGCCATCGTAAAAGGCGCAATCCCGAGAGAAAGAGCCGATGCTTATGCCAACAGCATGTATGAATGGTTGGAAGGCTTGTGAGTCAAGATCATCCAATCGAATTCTGTAACAATATTGACAAGTTTCACAGCAATTTGGGATTCGATCGAAATGATCTTTCGACTGTCCATAAAGATCGATTACCCACTATCAATGAAAAGGGCATGTGCCTCAATTATGCCGTAACACACGAAGACTTCGCTTGGGGTGTACGGGGTGAGCCAGGTGTTGTAGGGGCTTTCGAAAAGATATACAATGACAAGGACCTCATTGTATCGTTCGACGCCATCAATTTTACCTTTCCAAAGTGAGCTACCGTTCTCTGCTGCTATCCGAACTGACTAATCAGGCGATAGTCGGACAGACATAGAGCCCAATAAACCATGGCCTCACCAAGACCAGAATCCAGCGAAACCGGGATTTAGATGCATGCAGGGCCTTGTCAATCTGTTACCTAACGGTCCAGATGATGGTGGCCTTATAGTGTGTCCAGGTGGCCATCTCTTGTCCGATGAGTTCCATAAAGATATGGCTGACGAGCCACGTATCCCAGCATGGACTCCTGAGTGGTATGGCTTTACAGATAATGGCATGAGATGGCTCGAGAAGAAAGGCCTGAAATGGCTAAAGGTGTGTGCTGAGCCTGGGGATTTGTTACTCTGGTGAGTCCTCTCTTCATCTCAGTCTTCTATCCGTTATTTGCGTGCTCACTACGAATAAGGGATTCCCGTACTCCTCACTACAACCTGGGTTCGAAAACGAATCAGCCAAGATTTGCTGTATATACGTGCTACATGCCTGTGAGTCACGCCACTCAAGAGGATCTTATACGCAAGAAGAATGCCTTCGAGCGGCATGTCGGCACTACTCATTGGCCCAACGCAAGACACACTGGCTCAAACGTAGCAAAGCGCGATGGGAAAGATGACCCCTATAATCGCTTTGAGCCTGTTAACAAACCAGTTCTTGATGAGCGAACTTTCAAGTTGACTGGTATTCCGTACATCAGGGCTTAGGTTGTGCGAATGTCGTACAAATGTACTACCTATGTTCAAGCCACGCATCAACTTTTGCAAAAAGCAAAAGAAAAATCGTTCAGTGTGTAACTCTACTTTCTAGAAATACAATGCCCACAACTGTGATGTGCAAAGATATCGCGATCGCGAACCAGTGCGTCGCCAGTTCCTTTTCTATCTGGCAAGCTCCACCACCACTTCGACCGCAGCGTGGCCTTACCTCTAAATACTATTCAATCAAGAGTATAGCTCTGATGCTTTCCGCGATTACAGACGCGCTTTAGCTGCCTCTTATGCCATATCATGCCATAGATAAGGCTGCAGAATAGGCTTGGTACACCTCTCCATCACCAGATATTGCACTAGGTCCTTTGGCACTCTGAGCTTTTCATCATTTTCCCCACTTCTTTAACTACTCTGATCTTTCGACCGAGATTACGGTGCATCTATCACCAACACGGATGACAGTTGTCATAATTCAAATGTAGCGTCTTCACCACAAACGCAAATCTTGATTTATCTATGTTTCTTTTGAGATCAAGGGGCATATTCGTGGTTAACGCTACTGAGAAAAACTATTAGATAAGCATCGATCGTATAAATCGCTATGGCTTTCGAAAGCAGAGGAAACGCGTAAGGTCATGCTCGGCGACTGTCCCTTATTGTCTTGGAAAACGCCTGAAGTCTGGAACGCCGTACTTGACGACCTGCAGAGCACCGTTCATTGATTTTGGGAGGTTTTCCATAACTCAATGGGACATGGAAGGAAGTCCAGTCCGTTTCCCTTTTGCCCATCGACCTGTATAAGCCCTGATTTGCTTTCCATATATGAAGATAGGAATACCTAGGCATCCAAAGAGTGCCGTTAGCCCAGCATATGTGCCAAAAGATCCGTCATATCCAGCAGTGTCGATAAACTTAGCTACGCCATAGCTTGTACCAAAGGACACAAATCCGCGGAAAGCTGTGATGACGACAAGAACGGGCCCGGCCCGGGCAGGATAGGAGTCTAGAAGGTACGTGATGGCAGCAATGTTGGCTCCAACAAAGCAAAAGTAGTATCCCGAATTGGCGAACACAATGACGAACCAGTGGTAATCCTCTGGATGTTCGCCAGCTTGGCCGTAGAGTGTAGCGGAGATGACGCCAACCATGATTGGGATCCAGAGTGCGAGCAGGCGGTTTTCAGGCTCATGAAGACCGCCATTGCGCCTAGCTCGCCATTTAATAATCTTATCAGACCCATAACCAAGTAAAGGAAGAGTAACAAATGCGACAACGACCTGTCCAGCGTTTACATAAGATGCTGCATCATTACTCCAGTTGTAAGGAGCACTAGTGACAACTTTGCCGTAAGTCGTACCAATAGCGATGTTTATTCCACTACAGGTCATCAGTTATAGGAGCACCACGGACGTCAATGTACTTACATCGTTAATCCGTTGAGGCAAAACGCCCACAAAACGTTTGGGAATAGGAGAATTTGGAAGGTGTGCTGACTGAGGTTAATTTGGCTAGGAAACGAATGCGAACCATTGGAATGCCTTACAACAAAGCTGTAATAGCCTTCGGCCCAATCAAAGTCCCCAACAAATAAACGCATATCGGATTTGAAAGTTCGCGGTTGATACTTGGTAAAATCAAAGGCAGGTTTTTCTGACAGCCGCACCGGTCGTGCCGTCATCTCTCCAGCTTCATCGTTGTTCTCGCCAGCTGATTGGCCGTATGCTTGAAGGGTCCGAGGATAACGGCTCTCTGGAACGAGAAATATTGAAAAGAGTAGAGTTGCGCCCGCAAGTCCCGCACCTAACCTGTACCAGTTTGCAGGGCCAATTGCTCCAGCCAGAGGAGATGCGGCAATAGTAAGGCCGGCTGAGAGGATAGTTTGTATTGAGGATTGCCACATGAGGAAAGTACTGCGTTCATGGATAAAGTAAATTTCCTAAAATACGGCATAAGTAGGCAACTTATTCGACAACTGCGTACTTCTTACCTGAATCATTAAAGGTACTAGAGCTTCACTTTGACCAGCAGCAAGACCAAGAACCATTCTTGCACCCAGATGGAAATTGTAGTTGGTTGCTTGTGCCGCCAATAGGGCGCCCAATATTAGTACAACCAATGATGCGAGATAGACCGGCCTTCTGCCAACTGACAAAGCCAGCGGTGTGCATGTAAGACAGCCGACACCCATGAACATTGATGGATACGTCATGAGGGCGGTGATATCGGCGTAATCAGCACCATGTCTGGAGTAATCTGGGATGTAAAATCCTAATAGGCCACCGAACCCAGACACCATCGAAAGACCGATACTAGAAACTACGGTTTGTATTAGTCATGAGAGATGTGTACCTAATGATGGAATCTTACATATCGATACAAGAGCGACGAAAACGATTTTCCTCCACCTAGGTAAGTTAAGCGGGTCTAAAAGGATCATTAATAACACATAAATAGGACAGGAACTGCAGCGGGTCACCTCTCGGGTCCGCACTTGGTGCGGGTACGAGGTAGATGTCATTGTCATCAGTGATAGCTACCGTGCCCATTGTCTGGCTCTGTTCAAGGCCATTTTTGCTCTCCTCATCAATCGAGAGGCATTCGAATCTCTCTACATTCACCTCTGAGGGTTTCGCATCCTGGGTTGTGTCTGCCATCTCCAGAAAGAGTTAACTAGGTAAATAAGTAGTCTCGTGGGAATCAGACGTCTGATGGCAGAACAAATGACCCGCGCGCCTCAATCCTGGGAGAGCGCAAAAGGGTCGCTGATGGCATGAAGCATTATCACAACTGGACATTCATTTCTTTATCAACGCTCACTTTTATCGAGCCGCTCCCACTATGACCGATAAATCTCGGAAGCTTCATGCTTGGAAGCTCGGAACACAAGCAAACTCCACATCCCGTATCGCTTGACCATTGCCATCAATGTGGTATTGGGACATTTGTCCCCACGGGGTAAATATGCGGG